GGCAGCACATGAAGCAGAAGTTTCTCAGATTCTCAAGTACAGTGAAAACCCTTGTGATTTGAAGAAAGGAAAAAACAATGTTACATGTGCCTGGGCTGGGAAGATCACCAGCAGCCCCAAGTTGAATATGTGGCCTTTTAACTTTCAATTAGTCAATATGGAAATGAGGAAATGTAAAAGTATAAAAAAGAACTTTGTACTTGGTGATTAGGCTAACAGCCATCATCCCGTATTCCAGGGTATGCTTTTTAAAGTTAATTTATCCTGCATACCAAATCCCATACAATGGTAAGAGCTGCCAGGGGCACTATATTTAGCAAAATTCTGAGGCTGCATTTGAGTCATTAGAGAAAAACTGTCATGATTGATGCATCATCCATGGTTGGGAAGGAAACAGAATTCATGCCAGAAGGTTCAAATGAGATTTAATGAAGGTACTACTTAGAGAGCTGTGGACAGCCTTAAGGGAATCTGTTATGGGAATGGAGGCAACCAGAGACAACCAACAGAGAAAACCCTAGGGCTAAAAAGGCAGTGATGAAATAATTACCATATACTCCGAGAGAGCTAAGTCTAAGGAGGTGGGCCTGCTTGATAGCTGTAGATAAGAACTGATAGGGAACTTTCAAAAATGGGGCACTGAAGCAAGGAGGGTTCAGAGAAGAATTATCTCAGCCTTTCCTTCTCCCTGCACTCTGATCTCCTGCCCATACCTTCCATTGGCCAAACCAGGGGTAGGCTGATAAATAAAATGTTTATAAGATGGCTTTCAAAACAAAAACAAAATCTTGATTTTTTTAAAAATTCATTTGGTTTAAAAGATGACTGGTAAGGGTATCTTAACCCTTGACTTGGTGTTGTCAGCACCACACTCTCTCATGTGAGCCACGGGCCCGCCCTCAAAATCTTGATTTTAGAATTTGCCAATGCCTATGACATAATCACATCCACCAGGGCTGATTTCAAACTACCAATGTGATATCACCGGAGTTGGGAAGGGAGGCATGCAATTGGCTCTTCCAGCATACCACTAGGTTAAACCTAAACAAAAGCCAGCCACCAGGAATCCAAAGGATGCAGTATGCAGGGGATTTAGAACAAAGCAAAGACTAGTGGGGAATGGATTTTTAGGGTTGGGGTAGTGGTCAAGTAGCAAATAACCACAACATAATTGACAAGGTCTATTACTTGCCCGGAATTTGAGTGTTTCTGGATGAGATTAACGTTTGCATCAGTGAACTGAGTTGAAGCAGATTGCCCTCCCTAATGTGAATGGGCCTCATTCAATCCCTTGAAGGCCCAAACAGAACAAAAAAGGCTGAGTAGCAGAATTTGCTCTATCTGCCTGTTTTTGAGCTAGGATATCAGCCTTTGCCTTCCATTGGACTCACTTGGAGAACTGTACCATCACCTCTCTTGGGTCTCCAGGCTTGTTAACTGACAATTTGGGGACTCAGCCTCCATAACCATATGGGCCAATAAATCTGTTTCTTTGGTGAACCCAGACTAATACTGTATGTATAAGGTATACTATATATCTGAGGAATACTTTACAAAAATAAGCTGAACTCAGACTACCACTATAACAAACTACCTTTTCTTAAGTAACACCTGTACCTACATTTTTTACTTTATAAGACCTCTATCTTTGCTTCTCTCCTTAGTTTGTCTAGCACCACAGAATGCTCTGGCCAAAGATAGGAAGACGGAAATACAGCTAGCAGTGATTTCCAAAACTGACTAATCATCAAAAGCACCTGACGAGTGTTTCTTAAAGATTAGGAATCCTTAAATTTGCAAAATGCTGTTAGCCAATTTCTGAAATTCTCTTCATGTTTTAAAACTCTATTTTCACTTAGCCAAATTTCTGAACAGCAATAGAGTACTTCTTGGAAATCTTATAACAATATGTAAACAGTTCTATACATATCAAATTCTATCTTGCATCATAATTATCTATTTAATGTTTCCCTCGGATATTAGATTAATGTTTCTTGAAATCAGGCTTCATATCTGGGTATTTTTTTTTTCCAAAAAAACAAGCATAATATTTTACATGCACTGGGCTTATAAAACTAAATTCTTTGGATTTATAATTCAGAGAACAGAACTATGAAGTTTTTAAGAATCATGAGAAGCAGATAAATCTTACAATGTAGACATGAAAAGGGAAAAAAACAGCAGAAAAAACATCTATGGCCTTAAAACAGTGTTATAATGCATAAAAGGTTAGAATGTTATAAAACCTATGGAGTCATAACTAATGTTTATTGACTGATTTAAAAATGTTGAATAAGTAAATATGCTTATTTCCATAAACTAGTGATTTTGATCTGGGACTAATAGTTCCTATAATTTATTGAGGTCATTCTAGGTACACTAAACATTGGCCTAGGTACTTCATATTATTCATTTAATTCTCACAACTCTGAAAGACAAATTTTTAATTTGCATCTTATAGATGAAGAAACTGGGGGCTGTAACGATATTCTAAATCCCACAGAGCAATTTCACAGATCTGTATATGGTCCTTGATACAGTCACGTGAGGACCATTGGCCTAGGCCAGGACACAGATTTAACTTAGCATAACTCAAATCAATTATGTCCAGAGACCCACATTAGTCACTAAAAGGTCAGAAGACTAGCCTTCAACTAGATACCAGGATGGAGCTTAATTCATTATTTTGAAAATTCATTCCTATAGAGATATATTATATCTCTCTATATACTGTGCTAACCTGTTTACAAAAAGGGCTATTGTGCATATATGAGCATCAACTACCTCTGTGCATTCATTCCTTTAAGGAACAGCCTTACTCATTAATAATCCTATCTATTCATCTGTGAAATGAGAAACATTATTTTAACTCATCATATACAATTATTGTGTTAAATAGCTTATAAAAACAATTGAAGAGCACCTAATAAAACATGAAATAGTAGGGGGAAAAAAACTCATGAAATAGTCTCTATAGTACTGAGTCCATACTAGAATTAGGCACAGCTGGTAAAAGGCATTTTTTTCATAATTACAACTCTGTCTTTTAATTTAAAATAAACTTGCTAGCTTAAAACAAAGCCAACATTAAAACAGTTGTCATATCAGAATGAATGTGTGTTTTCCTCCAAAGAAAGCTTGATAAAAG